AAAGAAATGTAACATTGTGTTACAAAAGTGAGCGTAGGATAATATTGAAGAAGAATAATGATATTTTTTCTTATAGTAAAGAGATACAAACGCAGTGAAATGTCAAAAACGTTTCTAAAATTTCGTAGGTGTCAGAACCGATTAGCATCTCAACATAGGGTTGTCGGAATATAGGAATGTCGGAACATAGGGGTGTCGGAATATAGGGATGTCGGAACATAGGGGTGTCGGAATATAGGTTTGTAACCCCGTGCCCCCTCAGAAGGTAGACATTTTTGAAAAATGCAACCAAAATGAAGTCATTTGGTGCATACATGAGGATTTTCATTCTTGATCATTAAGAATACAGTACATGTACACAGAACCAAAGGCCTTACACAAACGCAGGCTTTGATATAAGCCTATTATTGATATTTGGGTAAGTCTGGCAAGTGGAGGGGACAGTTAATATTGTGTCCTCCACCCTTCAGAAAGTGGGGGGACGTGTCCCCTGTCCCCCCCCCCATGATCGACGCCCCTGGTAACACCTAAACCGGGATGGGAGGATTAGTATGAGACCATTCCAGGGGCAATTTCTAAATTCTGACGGGGAGAGATACTAATTTGCTTGACGCTGTTCAGACACCCGTTGGGGGAGGTGGGATCCCTATTAAGGATGGGGGGTACTACCAATGATGCGGTTTGCGAAAACGAGTTGCGCAGCAAAGACTACACGCAGTCAGATGATACTGGTATCTCCACTCCTGAAGATGATCAAGTTATGTTGATGAAATTATTGCGTAATTCAGAGTACATTCAGAGTAAGGAACAAATGAAGAGTATCTGTGAAGAATACAAGACTCAGATCGGAAATATATTGTCTTTGACGCAGACTCAGACAAATAGACCAGAGATCTGGAACGGGAATTAAAGAACCAAGCTATGTGCCAGCCCAGCGTGTACCCCATGTCACATCCGACTGTGGCAGGACAGAGAATTGTTGATTCTCACCATTCTCACTACTGGTGATACCGGTGGCTGCAAGCAGAGGACAGCTAGAAAACATAATTTCAACTGTTACAACTGTAGGAAGCGTGGTCATATGGCGAGAGATTGTACGGCTCCATGTAAGGAATGTGGCGAGTCGGGTCATATTTCCTTGTCCAGAAACAGGTAAGGATCAGGGTAGCAAACATCATGTAGGACAGATTAGGAGGAGCCATACTTTTTATAATGTATCGGATTATTATAAAAGGTGTGGCCGACGATGTTGATAATTCTGTTTTGGGCACTCTGGTTGAGGAGTGGGTAAGTGTAATTAATCGATTGTGTAAATGTATGATAGATACTGGTTCGCAACAATCCATGATAAGCCAGTCCTATTATGACAAGTTTACTCCTCTCAGTGAGCTCTTGCATATTCAGGGAGTGACGATATAGCCTATTCGATACAGTGGTGTAGTGGAGGTTACAGTGTCTCTCCCGAAGCAGTTATTTGGCGATAGTAGTGATAAGTTAATATTAGCACTAGTTGTCCAGGACAACGCATATACATGTTAGGTAACAATCTCTGCTGGGACAAAATGGTTGAACCCGTATATGGTGCTAAAGGTAAGGTCAAGAAGAGGATTTCGGTGACCGGTCGTATGGGCACTGTCAGGGTATATAGAAATCTGTCCCTCCCAGAATAAAACTTGATGTCATGATAGAACCAAGTGGTAAGTGGTCTGGAGATGGTGTGGCTGACTAGTCCAATGATTGTTACTGCAGAGGGTGGGCGGAAGAGATCCAGTGTACCATTAGTAACAAATGTTTGACTGCAACCATAACAAATTGTCAAAGGGAGAATATGACCTTGGTCGATGTGATATCATCAAGCATAATATCAACTTGACAATTGACGAACCTTTCAAACAGCCATAGAGACACATACCTCCATCACTTTATGATGAAGTTAGGATGCAAATAAGAGGTATGTTGGATAATGGCGTGATACAGAAATCAAGTAGTCCATGGGCATCTGCGATCGTTTTGGTTAAGGTACGAGATGGATCTACTTGCATATGTGTAAATTACCGGAAATGTAATAGTGCTACCATTGGAGATGCATACCACATGCCTGTATAGAGGAAAGTACGGACGTACAGGAACACAACCTGAAATTGAAACATACACAATGCCAGTTTTTCTGTAAGCTTGTGAAGTACCTGGGGCATGTGGCGTCCTCAGAAGGCGTGGAGACGGACCAAGAAAAGATCAAGGTATTGAAGACATGGCGAGTGCCTGCCAACGTCCATGAGCTATGCACGTTTCTTGAGTTTGCTGGCTATTACAGATGATATGTACCAGGGTACTCTGTGATCGCCCGGCCACTGAATGACTTGACAGCAGAGCAATTCTTTAGAATGAAATGGGGGAGCAAGACCCAAGGCACATGGAAGAACCCATCACCAGAGTGCCAGAGAGCTTTTGATACATTGATATTAAAGTTGACAGCACCACCAGTATTAACATATGCTGATTATCAGCGTCCATTTGAGCTTAATACGGATGTAAGTATGTCTGGATTGGGAGCTGCGCTAT